AAAAAAATACAATTAGTATGCATATTATATTCCAAAATCCCTTTTTTCCCACATACCAATTCAAAATCATATAATTTCTAAATCACACAATATGTAATATTATATGTACTTCTAAAAACAACTTGCAAATAGTTAAATGAGTCAATAAATAGCATAAATTATCCAGTTATCTCAACCATTTCTTTACCAAAAAGGGTTACTCATGATAGTTTTTTTTCTTTTCACTATCAATCTACTCAAAATATTCATTAGTCATGTCAATCTATAAGATTAAGTACTATGTGTTATTCTCAAATTGAACACAAGTAATTATTTGTACAATTAAACCAACTCAATTTTCTAATTGTAATGTCTGCCTAGAAATTACCCATAATCACTACATAATCACAACTTACAATGGTAATTAAGAGTCATTAATCCCTCTTAAGCTTACTGTAATCACAAAAGGTTTAAATCAATTAATTATTTGAAATACAATAAAGACATTTAAGATCCCAAAAACCCTTTAAAGATGTTATTTGAGCTCAAACTTAATGATTTTTAGAAGTATAGGAAGCATGGAAAGCAAAGGAAGCAAAACACAAGAAAACCAAGACAAAAAATGGCACGTGGCATAGAAAGGGCAATTTGACCTTTGTACTTTGTGCTATGGCATGTGTACAACATGCCACGGCGTATATGTCTCTATCATGATAGCAAAATGCTGTCATGACAGCTTTTCAAGGAAAACTTCAGATGTGCTTCATTTTTACATCCGATGTTCAATTGAAGTGATTCAAGTGCCCATATGAAGTTTATTCTATAATCTAACTAATGGTACAAGTTATAATGACCTCAATCACTACTCTCGATACCACATATGATATTACAATGTCATAATTATGCTAGCCTTTAGGATAGATAGACTTATTAATTATGGCAGTTAAATTTCTTCTCATTTTATTCATAGCTTAAAGTAAGAGAATACATTCATCATCAAGAGAATACTTCCCTGCCTTAGCCCCTGGCTACTCATCGTGGCCAATAATACAGCTTGCCTCGGGGAGGGCTTACCTTACTAGCCCCATAGGTACTTACTCGCCTCGATGAGAATCCACTTACTCGCCCAGGCAGGTAACTTGTCTCACAATTTTTAGTTTCTACCAACCACAATAATTTTAGATAAAATACAATTTATGTCAAATAATCATCCTAAATTAAATATGAACTACATGTCCCTATAGTTGGTAAACCCAACTTAAATGCATTACAAAAATTTCACCAAAAAGCTTAAGAGTTCTAGTGTTTTGTTCTCGAGGTCTTGCCCCCTTCCTTGCCTTTTCCTTCTCCTAAAAATGGTAAAAGTGAGAGGATGAGATTTCATACAAAATCTCAGTGACTAGGATATTTAAATCAATATATAAAACAGTGGTAAACATATAATTCTTGCAATCTACATATTTAGCTTAAACCACATATAAGATAATTTTTAGAGCTTATATCAATCATTTAATTTCATAAAGATTTATAGGAAAATAAGTATCAAATGATGCATGCTCAAATCCCCCTTATAACTTCTGACTAAATTCATGGGCATCTTACTATACCTCTAGTCACATTACTAAACTAGTCCTACTCTCCAAATCAGGAGGGGCCGCTCCAATTTAGACCATGGTTCCTATGACTCAAAATTTTGAGTGTCATGATATGCCCGACCTATCACTATTAATCCAAGCAATGAACTTGAGCAAGTGCCTGACTAACACTACTAATCTAAGTAGTGAAACTAAGAACATATATATAATCATATAAATCACTATTAAGGGGCAACCTCAGTAGGGTAAGTCATGGATTTTTCATAATATTTACAACTCCCCTACAGGTAAACTCCCACCTTTATACATGTATTCAAATAATTAACGGCCCATATGCATATCTACCTCATACTAAAATTTCATACAGAGTTCATATATCATGAGGAAATTTCGATATTTCACAATTCTAGAATTCTCATATAAGCATATCATACAACAAGGCATTTCTAGTAACAATTAATCTTATTACATATATTCAGAATACAATCACTAAGTCACATGGTACATATATCATTACTCAAAATAAAGTTTCATATCTCAAATACAACGTGTATATTAATAAGTAAGATAGCATAAACTATCTCCTAAATAGTGTTACAAACTATAATATATATTAATTTAAATCCTAGTTATCTTAAACTTTTGAAAGATTAAAGATTCAATCTCTAATGCCTACAAAAATTTTAGAGTGCACGAGTCACAATTGAAGCTAGTAGTAATCAAGGTCGAGCCGTCAAGGAATTAATTAAAATGGCGATTAGACATTAAATTTCCAAATTCATTCACATTAAGCTAATAAAACTAGAGATTAATTTTAAAGCAATTAAAATGAAAATATTAAAAGGAATCAATTAAAATAACTTTCAATCCATAAACAACTCACGTCAACTAAGAGAAGAGTGTTCTAGAGTCCTAATCCCCTATTTGCTTCCTAACCCTCTCATTACCACATTAATTGTCTTAAAATTTAGTTTTGATAATCTAGGAATCTAAATTAATCCAAAATATCTTTCGATCACTATGGATCCTAACTAATTTAATTAAAGCAATTATTACCTTAATTAATAATTGCATTAGAGATCTTAACCCATGAGGATTACTTAGGTCCATTAGATACATTCTTCTTCTAATGGCAAATATAAACTAATCCTAGGTTACTAGTTCTCAAGGTCCAATTCGAGTCTCCTCTTCCAAGGTTCAACCCAAATGCCCAAATCCCACATAATGGTGACCAATCATTAAACAAGAATAAAACAGCTCAAGAACAAGTAATCAAAACTTTATTTCTGTTATTTACATAAATAGGTTCATAGTCCTCTAGAATAAGAAGATTTAGCTACATATGGAATTGAATAAAAACTGTAACACACAAGGCAAAATTTGAATATATCAACATAAAGGAAAAGAAGAGAAAACACTGAAAAACTGAGGTAGAATGAAGATTTGCTCCACTTCTTCTTAATCTCAAGCTTCCTAGACTCCTCCTCTTGCTCTCTTAAGGTTTTCTCCAGTTCCAGCAACTCAAAAGTGGCTCCTCCAATCCAAAAAAACGAGATATGTATGTTAATTTCGCACAAAAAATGAAAATGTGCATTTCTGCATTTTCATCTAGTGCCATAACACCAGTAATCACTTCTAAAAATTTTGATAGTACACTGGATCTTTTGCTTATGTTTTTTACTAAAAAGCACTTTTTCTTGTCTCCTTTCTCTTTCTTGCTTTGATGTTGACATGCCTCACCTATCCATAATTAATAAATATGAGTGTAATATTTGTTTACTTTAATTTTTATCATTTTAAATAATTTCCTTAAAAATATTACAATCAATCCACATGAGGAACTTAGTTAATTTTTCTTTATAAAAGCAAGAAAATGTTTCTCTTTTTCATTGATGACTTCTAAAATATAACAAAAAACATATCAATTATAGCATAAAATAGGGAGTCATCACACCCCCACACTTGAATCAAATCTTGTCCTCAATATTTTTTAAAACAATTAAATGCAAAAGAACTAACTAAACACAAAAATTGCAAAAGTTATCAAGTCAGAAGTAATTTAAACTTTCAAGCAATTAGTCTTTAAAGAAATCATTTCTACCTTTAAAAAAAATGTGAGCAATAAGGTAACTAACTAAACAAAGATAAATCACAATAAGTTGTCCCTCTCCAATCAAGTATTTGCACTCTACGCTCAATGTGTTTTGATGGCTTGTGTTTCACTCAATTTTACCTATTACAATTCATCTACTATAAGCTTGTTTCTTATCTCCATTTCCACTCTATTATCCCAATACATGCACAAATCAAAAAAGCATTATTAAAGGTTGTAATGTACAAGGTAGGATGATGGAATAAAATAGGTATTGGGAAAAAAAAAAACCAACTTCAATTAGTGCTAAGAATTATCAAATAGATCCCAAGAAATATAATTTTCATCTAATAAAATGATCAACTAATTCATTATTCTTCTTATACTTCTTTTTTTTATCATCAAAAAAAAATTTTTATACATCCATTATTTGTTTCTTCTTTTCTTTCTTTCTCTTTCTTTTTTCTTTTTTCTTTTCATCTTCATTTTTCTTCTATCTTTCTCAACTCTTACAAATCATTTGCATATTCATTACTTTTTAAACAACCATAGACTTTTTTTTTCTTCTCCTTTTTATCAATTCTTTCACTACTTGCCCCACTTAACACCAACGATTACAAGAGATAAAACATAAAAGGATATTTTAATCCAACCAAAGGACTATAAAATTATTCTTTTTTTTTTTAAGGAATGGCTAATGCTCAAAAGGTGGATTAAATGTGAATACGATGATCATTTGGCCAAACTAGCTTTAAAAATGAATGCCTAAATCATCTAGAGATGAAATCACTAAGTAAATTTTCTCTTAACAGAAATGAAAATTTTGGCTCAAATTTCTCACAAGCATTTTGGACTCCCTAAGTTAAGTTATCCAAGCCTAATTCTTTACCTAATTGCAAACATGCAATGAAAAGGTAAAGTATAATCCCAATTCAACTTAATACATTCAAGATCAAGCACAATTAATCTTGACAACATTCACAAATAAACCTAAGACAAAAGACACAAAAGTATGAAATTTTTTTCAACAAAAAATATATACAAAAGGACTAAAAACACCAATATTTACAACAAAAGAAAAATGAAGACACAATTAATCAAACACCAAAATTTGAGGACAAGTAAGGCAATGCAAAGTTAATATCACCCTCCCCAACACTTAAACAACACATTGTCCACAATGTGAAAAATAATCAACAATCAAAACAAGAGAAAGAGGGGGAAAGAAACTGACACTCCCCTAACAAAATAGAGAAATGTAAGTAATCCAAATGTAAGGAGAGAGAGGACGAAAACCCTATAATCTGCAGAATATCATGAGAAGACGCGGAACAAGGACATAAGAACTCAATTTTTTTTTTTTAAATGCAAACCAAAAGTAACAAAAATGCATTAGTCCTACAGTCATCCAAAAGAAAATTAATTAAGATATGAATTAAAATCCCCCTGAATGGGATAAACTAAGGTGCAAGAGGCAATCGTCGCTCAATGGCCACAACCATGTCTCGTAGTATGGAGATATCATGTTGAACTTGCTCTAAGCGCACCGTAAGAGTAGCCAACATGTCGAGAACGTGCTCTTCCAATGGCATAGATGGCCCACTTGGCTCATCATGAGGAGGGGCCACCTCTTGTTCCATAGAGGCATTTAAATTTCAATCTTCAATGATTGCATTCCCAGGGACTTCGGCTTAAAAGGTTGTGGCACCTCTAATAAGTTAGTAGGGAGTGATAGAACCCCTCATTGCACACATAAGGCAGAATGAGGTGAGGATAGATCATTGTAAATTTTGTAGCCTTGATGTCCTGAATCATAGCTTGTATTGCCGAAACCAAATTGTAGATAATGGTTGCTAAGTCTATCAATCGTTTTGTCATGATATGAAAAATTAGCGCAGCTCTTGCCTTCGAGATTTTATGAACATGGGAGATAGGCAATACATTATGAATGACAAAATAATGCCAAAACTTAGCAACCTCACATAGGTCTGAATGGCGAAGTCCCTAACTCCATTTAACATTCCGTGAAGTCAAACACTTGGTAATAACTCATAAGGGCAAGTTGACTTGTTCTTCAATTCTTGGTAGCGACAAGAATCAATTATTAGAAGATCATAAAAAGTTCTTATGGAATCCGCAGTGAACTAAACAAATTTTCCTCGCACTTAAGATTTTTCTCTGGACAGAACAAAGCATTAGTGAAGAACTCATGCACCAAAGATAGATAACCAATTCTTGGAGGGAAGAAAGCAACTTCCACTGATTATTTTGAATAATCTCAAAAGCTGGGTGTGGGTTATCATAAGGGAATGTACGTTCTTGGATGAGGCGATTGTTAGAGAAACTTTGTGTATATCTAAGCTCAGCCGCTAGTGCACAAAAGGTGTCGATGGGCCATGGCACAACTTGATCTTCAACCAAAGGTGGGGAGTCTTCATGATCAGGAGCAGAAGCAAGTGACTTAACAGATTGCTTGGTTTGGAATAAAGTTGCCTTTAATGAAGCTTTGTATTTGGTGGTCTTTTGCTTGTTGGAAGGTGCCATATAGTACCTGTAAGAAACCAACCAACACATAAAACAAAGTAATACACACATAAATTTGATCATAAGAAGTGGAAGAAAGTTAGCAATCCACTTGAATCAACCAGCCAAAAGAAAAAATAATAGGGAGAGAAAAACAGCAACTCCCTTAACTTTCAAAATAACAACCAAGCTAGACAATGAGAAATTCCAAACCAATTGAAAAAATTAGAACATCAACATTAGTGCATCATAACTCATAACCTCAGAATAAACCCAAGAAACTTTTTCAGTAAAGTTCATAAAATCTTGAGTAGGCCACAAATAACTCCAGCCAATTAAAGAATAATGAAATGCCTCATAAACACAGCAAAGACATGGCAAAAAGAAAAATCAGTTCAAGATACAACCAGCGCAAAAATAGTGACCATGAGCACCCATTGACAATGGAAGTCTGCCACATTAAAAGACCAGTGATAAATTAATCAGAGAAATTCATATAGAAGGCATATGAGCAACAATCAGATATTGGGAATCTAAACAAGTAATCAAAACCATTGAAAATACTAAAGCAGGCCCAACTGATATCAAATAATCAGAGAGAAAATACAAGGGTAAAGTGCACTGACCTGTAGAGCAATGGAACAGAGCTTACTCCGCAAGAAGAAGGATAATTAATAAATGAAAAAGAAAACCCCCAAGAACTCAAACAAGAATAAACCAAAACGAAAAAAGCAGCACAAATAGAGAGAAAAGAAAAAATAATAATAATAATAACTTGAAGAGCTGACCGAAACCCCAAACAACTTGAAATGGCAAAACCAAAATTGTGTGGATGGACGGAGCGACATAGATTAAAGAGAACGAGAATGGCTGGGAGTGACGAAACTAGGTGGTGGTGATGGCCGCCAAGAACAGAGATGAACTGGACGGAAGTGAGGTGAAGAAGATCAGGGGAAGAACAGAGATGAATCGATAGTGAGGACGCTCAGAAATGGCGTGAGCTATGGTAGTCTACGGTGAGAACAAAAATGGATGAAAGAAAATGCAGCAAAATGAATTGTGAAGAGGGACCATGGGTCGACGGTGATGATGAAAATGAATGGAAGGGACACACAGCTTGGAGCTCTGGTTTCGACGATGAACACAGGGGTCGTCAACAGCGTTGGACACTAAGACGAACCGGTCAAAAACTCAATGAGAACACTGGTGGATGAAGATAAAAGGAGGCTCGGGTTTATGTGATCTCTGGAGGACGACGACTTAAGCAGTGGAGGAGACCGGTGATCATGGTGAATGGTGCAGGTGGAGATTTCTCGAAGGCCAAAGATGTTGAGGGCGTTCGAAGCCCGGGAATGAGTTGAGGAAGATGACGGACGCAAGCAGTGGATGCGTAGTAGCAGAACACGGTGGAGGACGGTGGAGGAGCACGGCGGGCAATGACTGACGGCACTGAGCTCACAAGAGGATGAAGGAGGCTAGGGTTCTCAAATGAGGAAGATGAGTGCTGAAAGGCGGGTTCTCTGACGCAAAAATGCTAATGATAATAATAATAATAATAAAACTTAAGAAAAATTAATTTTTTAATTTTTCAACTTTTAACTCATTTTTAATTTAGTCTTTCAATTATAACTCGTTGTGACTTAATTTTTCAATTATAACTTGCTGCGACTCAGTCTCTCAACCTTTGATTCACCTATAACTCGGTCTTTATTTTTTAATTTTTTTAAAAAAAATTTCTTATCAAATAAGAAAGATAAAAAAATGTTCATATTATTTTAAAATATCCTCCTCCCATTGCTCATTGATGTGAGATATAAGTTAATATGAAAAAAAAATTAAGAAAAGTTTAGGGATTAATTTGTAAGTGATTCAAAAGTTGAAGGATTGAGTCATAGATAAGTCATAGTTGAGGGATTGAGTCACAGCGAGTCATAGTTGAGAGACTAAGTTATAAGTGAATTAAAAGTTGAAGGACTAAAAGATTAATTTTTCCTAAAACTTATAATTAAAATTTCAGCTTATAATAATAACAATTTGAATTTGAATTTTTTTAAATAAGAAAAAAATTTTACAAAGTAATTCAAAGTAAAAAAAATTAAATGGTTTTTTTAAAGAAAATATATATATATATATATATATATATTAACATAAAAATATATTATAAAAAATGAAATTTTTTATTTTTTTTTTATAAAAGAAAATACTCCTCCTAACCATGAATCATGGTGTCATGGCACTAAAATCTCAATGCCATAGAGAGCCTTCTTGATGCCTGAATTCTGGTGCTCTGTTGAGATAAGTGCTATGCCACTCAATTGGAGGCGCCATGGCACCAGAGGCAAATTTGCAGAATTTGTTAGAACCAGCAAAAGTACATCTACACAATTTTACTCCTTCAAAACACCTTGGAATCTCATTTTCACATGCTCAAACACTTTCAAACACTATAAATAATTAGAAATGAATCACAATACTTATCAAAACTATAAAACAAGCAAATCATACCCTCTCCTAGAATCATAATTTTGCATCAGCTTTACACCACAAATCAAATCAATTTAAAAAAAAAACATTGCTCATGATCAAACAATAAGCACCATACAAACATGCAAGAGCAACATAGTTAAATAGCCAAACACTCAAAAACATCAAATCATCAAATAAATTACAAAAATCAATGTATAATAGCAAAATTCAATAATTTATCAAAATTTAGCAGTAAAATGACACAACCATATACACTAAGTAGAGATACTCCCTCTTGTTCATTCAAATAGCTTTCTTCTATTATGTTGGTCTTAGTTGCCAAATTAGTCACACTCCAAGGGATCCAAAAACCTACAAAACACATAAAAACTTAAGCAATCAACAAAAACACAAAATTAACTAAAATGCTAAAAACCAGGACTTAGGTTGCCTCCCAAGAAGAGCTAAAGTTATAGTCTTCAGCCAGAATATCTTTAGGGACTATGGAGGATTTGAGAGCTTGACCGATACCTTCATTCTATCAAAATCACCACACCACCCAAGTATAATTTTAGACGTTGGCCATTAACTTTGAAAACTCTTCTAGAATCTTCTTCCATAATATCATTGCTCCATAGATGTAATAGAAACCACCTTAAATGGATCAAACCACCTAGAACTTCCTTGGAAACAACTTCAACTGAGAATTATATAACAAAACAAGTTGTTTAGGTTCAAAATTCCTAGGTCAAATATGGCTATCATGTAATTTCTTGGTCTTTTCCTTATAAATCATAGAGCTCTCATAAGCTTGCAATCTAAACTCGTCTAGCTCATTTAGTTGCATCAACCTCTTCTCATCCACTTGCTCATGTCAAAATTCAATTTCTTAATTGCCCAAAATGCTTTGTGCTCTAGCTCAATGGGTAAATGACAAGCTTTTCTAAACACCAATTGATATGGGGACATACCTATTAGGGATTTGTAAGTTGTCCTGTAGGCCCATCATGCATCATCGAGCTTATCCGCCCAATCTTTCCTAGTAGGACCCACAGTCTTTTCCAAAATTATTTTTAACTCTCTATTAGACACTTCACACAAGCCATCAGTTTGAGGATGGTAAGCAAAGACATTTTATGAGTAACTCTATATCTTGTAAGCAATTGTTGAACAACTTATTTTTAAAATGAGTCCCCTCATCACTAATGATTGCTTTAGGTGTGCCAAAACGGGTAAAAATATTCTTTTTCACAAAATGCACAACCATGTTAGCATCATTAGTGTGGCATGCTATGGCTTCTACCCATTTATTCACATATTCAACAACCAAAATATATTGATGACCTCTAGATGAAATAAAAGATCCTATAAAATTTATTGCCATACATCAAACATTCAACCTCAAGAATACTTGATTGAGGCATTTCATGCCTTTTTGAAATGTTACTTGTTCTTTGACATGTATCACAATGAGAAACATAGGCATTAGCATTTTTAAATAAAGTTGGCCAATAATAACCACATTGTAACACCTTACAAGCAGTACAAGAATCACTAAAATGGCCTCCATAAGGAATAACATGACAAGCATACAAGATATCACATTGTTCATTTTAAGGCACACACTTTCTTAAAATTTGATTAGCACATCTCTTATATAAGAAAGGTTTATCCCACACAAAGAATTTCACATCATGCAAAAACTTCTTCTTTTGGTATGATTTTAAATCGATGGAATTACTCCACGAACTAAAAAATTTGCAAAATGAGCATACTAAGGCAATTCATTACAATTCATAGCAAATGCTTGTTCATCAGGAAAGTCATCATTAATTTTAGTTACTTCCAACTCATTCTCTAACCTAGACAAATGATCAGTCACATGATTCTCACATCCCTTTCTATCAATTATCTTAATGTTAATTCTTGCAATAATAAAATTCATCTAAATTAGCCTAGGTCTGGACTCTTTCTTACTCATCAAATATTTAATAGTAGCATGATCAGTGAACACAGAGACTTTAGCACCCATCAAATAAGCTCTAAACTTATCACAAGCAAACACAATAGCAAGCAATTCTTTCTCAATAGTAGTGTAATTTACCTAAGCACTAGCAAGAGTCTTACTCACATGTAGATGGGATGGAAAATCTTGTCTCTCCTTTTATCTAAGAACAGCTCTAATAGCATAATCGCTTGCATCACACATCACCTCAAAGGGTAATGACCAATCAGGAGCAACAATAATAGGAGTAGAGATCAATCATCTCTTGAGTTCTTCAAAAGCTTTGATACACTTTTCATTAAATTTAAATTGAGCATCTTTCTCAAGTAACTGGCTCAAAGGCTTAATGATCTTAGAAAAGTCCTTCATAAATCGCTGATAGAAACCGTGACCCAAGAAACTTCTTATAGCTTTGACGTTTGATGGGTGAAGGAGTTGCTCAATAATTGAACTCTTTGCTCTATCAACTTCCAAACCCTTCTTAGAGATTCCCTCTGTCATCATGAAGTGGCATTTTCCCAGTTCAAGCACTAGATTGGTTTCCTCACATCCTTCAACACTTTCTCCAAATTCATCAAGCAAGCATGAAAAGATTCACTAAACACTGAAAAGTCATCCATGAATACTTCCATAATCTCCTCTATCATGTCTGAAAATAGACTCATCATGCACCTTTGGAAAGCAGCCAGAGCATTATAAAGGCCAAAAGGCATTCTTCTAAAGGTAAAAGTGCCATATAGACAAATGAATGTAGTCTTTTCTTGATCCTCAAGGGCTATAGCAATTTGATTGTATCCTAAGTACCCATCCAAAAAGCAAAAGAATTCCTTACTGGCAAACTTGTCTAACATTTGATCAATGAATGGGAGAGAAAAATGGTCCTTTCTTGTAGCATCATTTAATTTTCTGTAGTCTATGCACACTCTCTAACCTGTGACTGTAAGAGTAGGAATAAGCTCATTTTGCTCATTGAAGATTACTGTCATGCCTCCTTTCTTAGGAAACACATTGCATAAGACTAACCCACGAGCTATTAAAGATTGGATATATAATCCCAGTATCCAACCACTTGATCACCTCCTTCTTTACCACATCTTTATCATAGGATTAAGCCTTTTTTGATTCTAAACAAATTTCTTGTGATCATCTTCCATTAAAATCTTGTGCATCACTTAGCTGGACTAATTCGCTTTATGTCAGCAATAGTCCAACCTATAGCTTTCTTGTAGTTCTTCAACACATTTAGCAATTATTTTGTTAATTGGAAAAAGTACAAGGGAAAAGGTAAACCATGTGTAAGTTGAGCAAGCTCTAAATGCTTCTTGTTGCTCACCGCAAGTGCACGGGTCATAGCAAGTAATATAATGAAAGTAAAGTATCGTTCTCTCGAGGATTTGTTCAAAAACAATGGCCAAGCAAAAGACTAAGCAAATTCAATCAAGTTGAGCTACACATAGTTAGGTGAAAATGATTTTACAAATGAAACTAACACTAGAAAATAAAGAAAAGTGATTGATTCACAAACTAAAAACACATTTATTAATTGTAACAAGAAATTGAGCAATTAATTTAACTATCAAGAAATAACAATTATCTCTTGATCTTGAGTGAGTGATGAAGATATAACCACCCGTAGTGTCTCATAATTCCTAAGATAGGCATATTTCAGATAAGGTGGGAGTGGCTTCAACTCTAGTAAAGGAGGTTTCTCCAAAGAAGGTTGAAGAGTACGAGTAGTGCGTGATTCTAACTCCAAAAAATCATATTGCCAATGCCTTTTAGGAAATGATGAAGAAGTGTTAACCTCTAAAATTTCATGTTATTTTATCACATTTTCCTTAGATTCTAATCCATTTTGGCTCAATTGTATATGTTTTTATTGCCCAAATTATAAAAATGTGCATTTTATTTTGGGTTTGTATTCTTGGCTTGATTTCATGTTATTTTAGTTGAAGTTTTGATTAGAAGTTTATGGAGCTTTGTGGATGTTTTTGGAAGGCTTTTGGATGAAGAAATTTGGTACAAAATAAATGATTTTC